TTTTGAAAATATATTAATTGTGCGGCTTAATAAAAAAAAAATTGGTTAATGATGCTTACTACCAAGTGAATGTATGGAAATATTTTAAATACCAATCTAATTTGCTAAATACCGACCAAAATTTATTAAAATGTAATAAGACCCTTATTATTTAATATATTAATATGGAATCACGTGGTCGAGTCCGGCCTTCTATATATCATCCCCCCAAGGATGGATCCACCAAGTTAGAATAAGAAAAAAAACGGTTAGGGTCCACTAGATCGTATGAACATTTGTGAAAAACGTCAAATGACCTAAAATGGCCACAAATATATTTGAAGCGATTATAAAATTGTATAATTTTGAAACGTTGTTACAGATTTGGCAAATAAATAAAAAAATGCTTTTTATTTTAAATTAAATTTAAATGGCTAAATGGTAATTAATATTTATATTAATACAATAACAGTATATATTAAAAAATAAATAGCAGATAATTTACAATATTTTAGCAAACTCTTAATGCTCTAGATCCATTAATATATAATAGAGAGCACAATTGTATTATAAATATATCTTTGATATAACATCATTAAAATTTATATGAAATATCTCATAATAAAATTTTTAATTAATATATAAAAATGCAATCTCTTGTTTTTGCATGATAATGTATAAATTGAATTAAATTTTTGTTAGAATAGATAATATTATTGTTGTATTTTGATTTGATCAAACTATATTGAACCATTTGAATTTTAGAATTTGTATAATAATAGCTTTGTTTAAAAATGATATAAATAGCAGATAATTTACAATATTTTAGCAAACTCTTTATTATAAATATATCTTTGATATAACATTATTAAAATTTATATGAAATATCTCATAATAAAATTTTTAGTTAATATATAAAAATGCAATCTCTTTTTTTTGCATGATAATGTATAAATTGAATTAAATTTTTGTTAGAATAGATAATATTATTGTTGTATTTTGATCAAACTATATTGAACCATTTGATTATTAGAATTTGAATAATAGCTTTGTTTAAAAATGATATAAATAGCAGAAAATTTACAATATTATAGCAAACTCTTTATTATAAATATATCTTTGATATAACATTATTAAAATTTATATGAAATATCTCATAATAAAAATTTTAATTAATATATAAAAATGCAATCTCTTTTTTTGCATGATAATGTATAAATTGAATTAAAATTTTGTTAGAATAGATAATATTATTGTTGTATTTTGATTTAATCAAACTATATTGAACCATTTGATTATTAGAATTTGAATAATAGCTTTGTTTATATGCACTCTTTGTTTTGCCTAGTTTTCTAAAAAAATAATTATTATATGCAAATTAAATAATATATACTTTACAATTTTCTTATTGATAATTGTTGCGATTTAGCTTTAATCTCTTGGATTTTCATAATTATTTTGGGAACAAACTACTTTGGGAACGAACTATTGCAAATATGCTTTTTTTTGGGAACGAACTATTGCAATACGACAAAAAACCTATTTCCTAAATTTTCATACGAATTAGAGGGACGATACCAAAAAAACATGATCATTCTCGGGATTCGAACCCAGGAGCATAGGATAAGTAAGCGAAGCTCTTGCCTACTAGGCCATAGAGGCTTTTCAAAAATCACGATTTTTCAAATATATATTATAAATATATTTGGTAGTGCCTATCCAAATGAAAAATGAACAAAATTCAAATTTGATAGATGGTACCTTAAGGTACCAAGCATCATTAACCAAAAAAATTTAAGTATAAAAAAGTAAAATATTGTTCATATTAAAATTAATCATTGATATTTATTTTTATATAGTGTTGTGATGATTTAATGAAACATATTATGATTAAATTCAAACTCATTTATATAAAATTATAATATTTGCAAAAATAATTAAAATAACAAAAAGAATAATAGAAGAAATTTCAATAATGCTTTGTCTATATTTTAATTATTTTTGCAAATATTATAATTTTTTATGAATGGGTTTGAATTTAATCGTCAATATGTTTCATTAAATCATCACAACACTGTATTTATAAATTATATTTTATAATGTGCAATTAATGAAGGTTTAATACATGTGTTTTTTAAATTAATGACAAAATAAAAAACATTTTTACATAATTCGAATGTAGGTTTGAATACAAAAGTGTTCAAACCGGTTTTTAGAGGTTGGAACCGAACCGATTCTTTATTTTTTTTAGAAACCGAACCTGAAACTTGAACCGTTATTTTTAACTGAACCCCAACCGAACCGATATTCATTTCGGTTTGGATCCCTGAATATTTATTTCATGCACAATTAAAGATTATCTCTTCTTTTTAAATAATTCTTATAAAATATAATTGTCTTTCTTTTTCTTTGATAAAATAGCAAAACTAACAAAAATATGATGCTCAATTAAAAATTTATCATATTTTCAATAATTCTCATAAAAAATAATTGTCCTTCTTTTTCAATGATAAAATAAACATACAAAACTAAACTAACAATAACATTGCAACACATGTTAAATTTAAAAAAAATGTCCATTAATTTCGAAGAATATGGCATATTTAATATGAAATCTTATGGAAATGTAAGAAAGTAGAATTCAAAATTTTATTATTATATGAAAGTGATAATTGGGATGTTAATAACACACAGACTAAAAACTTTAAGTTTTTGTTAACAGATGTCTGAGACTAATTAACGGTTATATATATCCTAAAGTTATCTCAAATGTTAGTTTATGGAAACTATCAAAAACACACTCCAGTCGCAGTACAACTGAAAAAAGAATTCAGCTATTTGCGCATATTTTGAGAAATGCGGGAGATAATTTGCTTATGAAACCCTTAGTTGGCTTCCAATATATAAAAACAAAAGATATTGTAATTACAAAACTTACTGGCTAAATAAAACTATATTTGGCATTCTAAATTTGAATATAAGTCTAACTCAATTTTCACATTTAAATAATAACAAAAGTTTTCCATTAACAAACTTATTAAAATAAATACCAACTACCTAATAAACCGATAATTTCCTTACATAATTATTCCATCTTTTGAGCGATCAGTTACTCCTTTTCTCTTCTACTATATCAATTTCAAAATTTACTATATATTCTTTATATCTCTAAACCTAACATTGTACAATCATTGGACGGCTATTCGATTTATTTTGCTCAATGTAAGTCTTTAAAACTATATTTTAAAATATTATCCTAACATGTTATTATATTCATTTAAGCTGAGTCATATTATTTATTCATACTTATTTTTGGTTTCTCTCAATACTAATTTAAAATAAAATTAATATAGCCAATATTACCCTTCCATAATCAAATTTTATTTAATCGGGCATGAGCTTTTTACCTCTCCTTTTATTTTCTCATGGACGTTTAAGAAAGGGTCTTTGCCTCTTGCGCGCACAGGTAACTGCGGCCTGCCCAAAAAATGGTACTTATTTATTTCAAATCTTTTATCCCAGTTAGATGGGTTTTTTCTTGAGAGAACGAAGCGTTGTTCGTTGTATATATATCTCATATCACATTTTAGCTCTAGTGCGCTTAATATCACATAAAATTTTATTAAAAATCAGAGAAATTATAGTTGCATTAAATTTCAAGACCTCCAAATGATTTAATCAATTTGGAAACAAAAAATGTTTAGAAGCAATAGATCATACATCAGTTATTTTAAATTTGGATGATAAAGATCCTTTCATTTAAAAGCTTTTGAACCAGATAATTAGGAAAATGATATAATGCATGACAAATAACATTCTAAAACTTTAAAATTAAATTTACATACACATTGGCAAAGTATTTTGATGATTCTCGAATGTGAGTTGTACTAACAAAGCCCCAATCAATATTATGTTAAATAGAATGGAAGAACATGCCCTTAAATTTTTTTGGTTCTATTTAGTGAAAGATCTACTCAAATTCCTACTACCATTTTAAAATATCGTGGATATTTTATCATCTCAAAAAGAATGACAATAAATTTAGCTTTAATATTTCACAGAGAAATAGCTAATCACTTGATCGTTAATGTGAATGATAATATTTATTTTTTTATAAGTTATATTTTTTTACAAGGTATTCCACACATTTAGTTTCAAGATTTCAAAAGAAAGTGAAGTGAACAATTATCTTAAGGGAAGTTTCACCACTGTTAAACATGCTACTGCACTTTTATCTCACTGAAGATAGACTAAATAGTAGAATGTGAACAAGATTTTATTATGATTACATAAATAATTTGGGAATAAACACTATCTAATTGTCCTCTGCAAAACTATATCATGAATGATTTGGAACAAGAATGTTATTTATTTTTTTCGCATTTATATCTTCACAGGATAGTTTTATTTATTTAGAAAAAGAGAAGATTGGAGCTGTCTAGACATTTTGTTTTGCCAAAAAATATTTTCCAGCTTTAAGCTTTCCCAGTGTATTTTCTGAATCTAGATTAACCTTAAATAAGCTTGGTAACTTGTATGAAAACCATACTTACAAATCTCTAGTGTAAATAAAATAAAAAGATCTGCAAAAATATGTTGAATACTCACATGTAATTTTAAATAATTTTATCATATAGTGAAATGACTATTCAATGAATAATCTTTCTAAATTTTTAAATCAAATAATTAAAAGTAGAAATTGAATAATTTATTAAAGGTATAGGTAATAACATTAATTGTGGAGTATAGTTGCAACATTGTAATAAAAAATAATTATTTAAATTGCTATATTTACCTTATGTTGCTAGCATTTATTTTTATGTTTAAAATTTTGTATTTAAATATATTAAAACAATTTATCATTGTCCTAATTCTTTACTTTTCCAGAAATTTAATTGTAAAATATGAATTTCTTTAATATTTATCCAATATTTAAACAAATGTGGAATATATCATGTATATTATATTGAAACCAATTATATGAGGTAATTGCAAAAAAAATATTTTATTCTAAATAATTAATATAAATTAATCAAACCACTTTAAATTCTAATATTTGTTCAGCTTATAATAATAAAATAAGGGTCATCTTTATTAATCAATAAATGATATAAACATTATAATATAGATGTAAAATATTCTTAGACAAATTATTTAGTCCAGCTGACTTTTTGTACATCGTAATATTCTGAAAGTGAATCAAGATATTTGTTGAATTCCTAATAAAATCTTATTATATTTTTTTTAAATTAATATTACCTCAACTTTTTGTCTATGAGTCTTTTTTGCTTTATCTAATGCCCAATCAGTTAGCTAAGCAAAATTATATTATAAATTACATAACTATAATTACTTTTGCTAACTTTCTCTCTTCAAAAACCTTCTCAGCTTTCGTTTTGTTGTGAGTGATGATAACTTTTGCAAGATTTTCAGGCTTAGAAATATTTATAGGTTTGGAAATATCTTTATTTTTCCTATAACAGCAATTTATAAAGAATATATTTTATTTATATTACTTCTTTTTAGAAGATTTTGTTTTGAATTTAATTGGGCCTTTTTGATAAAATTGATCTTGATCATCTGTTGATTGTGACTCCATATTCAATTTACAACTCAGTATTTGTTAAATCTGTTATAAAAATGTTAATAAATAATTTGGCATGTGACCTGACACTATTTTGATATATTGAAAGCTAAAAATATATCATAAATAATAATATAAAAATGAATTATTAAGAGAGCAGTATTCACCTCGATCCTAATAAAATCTCAAATATTCTGAAAAAAAATATTAAAGGCATAGGCGTAGCTGGGGGGGGCATAGGGAAAATCCCCCCCCCCTTTAGATATTTATCACTTTTGGTGAATATCATTTATAGCTAATAAAAAATATCCCACTTAGTCCTTCCCCCCACTCGCTGACCACCAAAAATGTATTCATATATCTTAAATAATAATTTGATGGAAAGAATGTAAAAGTTGATATTTTTTTATAAAACTATTCATCATAATTTATACATTTTTGGAAAAATGCATTTATATATATAAAAAAAGTGAACCAATAATGTTTTTAAAGAAATGGAATATAAGCCAAAGATAAGTCTTAAGACAAAAGAAAAGTATTATAATTATTAATAATAGATCCATAAAATTACTAAATAATATAATATATAAAATATAATTTTTTATAAAGAAAGTAATATAATTATAAAACTATTGATAAATTTAAATCATGAAGATTAATTTTTAATATCATTTTTTATTTAAAATAAATAGATGGTGTTAAATAATTGAATGCAAATTGTTGCTATATTTATTATCAAGAGCATTGATTAGTAAAATTTATAAAATATTAACTGTAATATATATTCTAACTGTCAAATATGTCTATAAAAGTGGAATTTTATCTAGTATTTTGTAACTAAATTTATAGAATAGAGGAATATCTACTATATGTCTACTTTTTATAGATAAATTTCTTATACTTGTTTGGAATAAATTATTACCAATATTTTATATTAATGTACATACAAGTAATCTATTATATTTTATATAAACTAATAAAAATATATTTCATATTTGTTCCAGGCTTTTTTTTTATTAAAATTAACATCCTATATTGTAAAAATATTTAATGACTATATATAGACTAAGGTAACCTGGCCGAAGGCCGGGCAAAAGCGGGCCAAAAGCCCATCCAAAATGGGGTCTGGGGGCGAAGCCCCCAGTAATTTTTTAATTCCCTCCCCTTAGAATAATCCTGGCTACGCCTATGATTTAAGGGATAAGGTTGAAATATATTCATTTGGTTGATGCATCCTGGTAATGAGTCCATTTTAATTGAAAATTGATTTAATTTTACTATATTTAAAATAAAGTAATAACCCCCTTAGAAATCCTCTCTTCTACATTTACGAATTTTTTTTACCAAACACCCTCATATAAATATATTTTTGGTCTAATAATACCTTTATTCCTAATTTTTATACTTATTTTTTTGTGTCCTGACTTGTTCACAGATGTCGTCAACTTTATTGAAGCTAATCCTCTATCAACACAGCTTTATATTATAAATGATATTTTCGTTTTGCCTATATAGCATGTACCAAATAAACTAGGGGTGTGCTGGCTTTGACCTTTATTTACTTTTCGCAGGATGGAGGTCTACACCCTGCGCGTCGCTGGGAACGCCTTAGTTTTCATTTCATTTGTGTCCTTCATTTTTGTTTATTGGACAAGTATCCTAGCCTCTCGGTGACCGGGATGCCATTTCTAAGCTCCGAAATTCTTCTTACCATATGTCTTTATATATCATCCATCGAAGAAAAACCCGAATTAATTAAATATTATTTAATTTATAATAATAGGGTATCTAATTCGTTTTTAGTAAAACTTTGAATTTTCGATTATAAAATTTATGGAATCTCATTTTTGTAAATTTTTAAATCTAAATATATTTGATTTTTACCAAAAATCAAATTAAATCTTGCTGTATAACCACTTATGCTAACACAAACTTTTAAAGCTTTATATATACTAAACCTTATTTAAAGTTGTTTATTTTATTTCACATTTAATAAAACTAATTTCTTTTTTAGAATGTATATAATATGGATTAAAATTTTAATCAACTTAAACTAAATTAAAACTACCTGCTGAATATAAGCAATATAAATCTAATTTTTTTATAGTTTCATTTTTCAAAGGGATGAGGGTATTATTAAATTATTTTTCTGGCACCCCCTTCTATGTCCAGTATCATTTCCTTTTAAAATTAAAAAAATACTTTTTTAACCAGGTGAACCTAGACCCTGAGCCCTTAGAATACTAGATATTTTACTGAACCAACTCCTAACCATATAATGGAGGGAGGGTCAAAATAAATTTTTTTAAAAATATAACTTATTTATTTTAAAAAAATATTCAAAATCATATAGATAAAGCTATATTAAAATATATTTAAAAATCATCTAAACTATTTAAAACATAATTAAACATTTTTTTGTGAAAATCATTTTTCCTGGAATCCTTTTTATTAAATTTTAAAATACGTCATTTTTTGTAAAAATTTTACTAGCACATTTTTTGCCTTTTCATTAAATGCAAGCTGCAACGCACTCTCAAAGTATGTTAATAAAAAATCGATATAATTGTAACTTATAGATATTATGATAGTTCGCTTTTAAATTTAAAAAAAAAGAAAATATTATATTTTATATTTATATTTTATTATTTTTTATTATTATTTTATGTATTCTTCTAATTATAATGAGGATATAAATTATTTTATCGTGAATGTCAAAATATAATAATAGCAAAATAAATTATAAAAGCTGAATTTTGTTATTTCTTAAATTTTATAAGCCTTTGATTTTCTGGAAGGCGAACCCTGGACCAGAACTTAGTTATGAAATATTTTACCTAACTGGAACGTCCCTTTTTTTAGAAGGAGGGTTCACAGTCCTGTTTTTAACTTTTTAAAAAGGGAAAATAATTACACTATTTTTAAAGAACTACCTTCTGAATTATCAGCAATATAAGATATTGCAATCTAATTTCTGGTAGTTTTAAATTTCCAAAAGATATTAAACAAAATAATTTTAAATATTAAATGCAAAACAATTTTATCAAATTAAATGCACAACAATTTCATCATTCATAAAAGATACAGTGGGCCTGATTGACTGAATAACAAAATCATGAACTAGATAAAATTATTTATAATTTAATACAATAGTTTGTTCATAAAATTTTAGGTATGATCTACTCCTTTAAAATTATAAAAATATAATTCATATTTTATTTGGATCTTTTTTTTTATCTTAAGAGATACAGTTATTGCCAGGCATATTTATTGCTTAAAAAAATATTTGAAGGAACCCTAATTATTTCCAAAAAATCTTAATATACATTTTATAAAAGTTTATAAATTGATCAATAAGCTTAAGATATTTTAGCATATAAATTCTAAGCTTAAAGCTTAATTTAGCGAATAGTTAACCGACAAAATATCTAATTATAACTTAACAATAGTAAAGGCGGGACGATGCGGAAAAATTTGACTTATTCTTTTCACTATTTTCGGGAAACGATCATCTATCCGTTGTTTTGAATTTATTTCAATTTAGCTAATCGATAGAGTGAATTCTTTCTTCAATTTAACTAATCGATTATAGGTTAAATTATTTATGAATAAGCTAACCGTTGGAAAAAGTGTAGATATCCAAAGAACAAATGGTTTATATATTATATAGTTTTTTTATGATTTAATGTTTTATACTTAATTTATAATATTAGAGGCATGGTTTATAAATCATAATTTTTACATTATACTTTTTAAACTATAATTGTTGGTAGCATATAATAGATTTTTTCTGATTACAAAATTTTTAACTTTACATCACTTTTCATTATTTTTCAATAATGTCTAGTTACAATATAATCACAATACTGACATATAAAAAGGTATAGTTAAGTAATATTTGTAGATAGTATTGTAATATTTATTATTGGTTCTAATATAAAATTAGTTTCATCATAAAATTTGTTGATAATTATATCAAAAGAAGTATGTATCTAAATTGATGTTATATTAAGCTATATATCTCTATAAGCATTGATTATTTTTATGTTAGTATCTTTTAAATGGAGATTTAATAAACTTGGAGTAATTTGTAGTAAATAATTTAATTTAGCTTTCATATAACAATGAACTTATTCAGTTTTATAACCTGTATTTTATCTATAAATTTTTTTCAAGTGGGAGGGAGGGGCATATATTTTTTTGGATAATAGTGCATACAAATTAAAATCTTATTATTTTATTGTATTTTTAAATAATACATTTCATGTTCATGTCCATATAAATGTTTTTCTTTTGTTAAAATAAATTAGACTGATTTTTATTTACCCTATCTTTGTACCAATGTCATAAAAAAATAATATTTTCTATCTCAGTTAAAATATGGGCAATGTTTATGGTGAGAATAATTATATTGAACAGCTTAAGTTGATTTTAAATAATGGCTATATCAAATTTAAACAAAATATTATTATCCATTCCTTGAAATTTCATAAATAGATGTCATTTCTGCCACCCTTGGGAAAATTATCCAAGGGCTAAAATCTAGAGTTTCTAAAAATCAGTTAAATTTGTTCTTTAACACACTAGCTGAATGTGACTTGTAATATATTTTAAAATTCTTTTCTTGTTGCAGATAATATAGCAAGAAAATTATATCAAATTTTTATGTATAATGTTCTAATGTTTTTGAATAATAATTTATTGTCCCTGATCCCTGATCAGATCTTGATATCGGCAGAGCCCTAACTATAGGATTTCAAAAAACCTTTGTTTATTAACATTTAGTATGCTGTGTTATTGGCTATTTAGCTGAAAAGTTTGCTATAAATAATACCAAATATTTGTTTCAAATTGATTATATCACCTAACAATTTTTAATATTATGCTTATGATAATTTGAATATCTTAACTAGATTAAGTTCAAATAACTGGAAAGTTATATTAATGTAATCATTAAAATAAAGCCAGATTTAAGCATTGAAATTTTTAAATTTGAATTTTTTTCCCTATGAGTGAGAATTGCCTATGTGACCAGGAAGTAGGCATATTCAAAAATAAATCACACATTTTATTAACTTAGAATTATTTGAATTGTGAAATGAATATAGTTATTTTTTGTATTTGAATATTTAAATTAAATTTTTCAATAATTATTTTATAAATATCTTTAAAAACTTTTACTAAATTTTATTATATTTAATTATTAATTTTTATGAATTAGTGGAATATTTGTTTTTTTTATTAATTTTATTTTACTATTTCTAATGTTATCACAAATTTTATTTGATATCTCATACCAAACTCTAATATAGTTATAAACTAATAAAATAAAATGATAATTCCTTCTTTTAATAAATTTATTTGTGATAAATGATAACCTAAAAATTAAGCATAATTATGGGTAGATGACAATGATGAATTAAAGTATGTGGATTAAGTTGATAAAAAGTTCTCCCAAAGATAGGTCATTTGCGAACAATGTGAATACAGTCAAATAGTGAAAAAGCTACTTCAGGGTCATTCCATATTTCAACTCTACTATTGGTCATCCCTTTTATTTTTAAAAATTTTTACAAAAGTTATATATTTAATAACTACATCAGAAACGAAATTTGAACATGCTAGCATTTATATATCCAAGATATTAATGATCAAAGATGCAAAAAACGTCATTTATATCTTTTATAGATTTGGATTCAATTATTTATCAATTAATAAATAAATATGACCAGCTATGAGTTATTTTTTGACTTTAAATTATTTTATGAGCCCTGGAATGCCTTTTCGCTAAAATTAGGTTTTTAAATATAAAAATGGTCTCAAAAATGTTATAAAGTTGAAAAAATAATATATTTTATGGAAAAAACTATTTAATTTAAATAAAAGGTAAAAAAAGAAAAGATTATTTTACTGTACATGGTCATCTTATATCCAGTAGAAAGTTAAAAGCCAAATTTTTACAATGATAAGAACTTCCAATCTGCAAAAAAATTCCTATTCTTATTACCTGATTATATAATGTTTCATTCAATAATTTGCATGGCAAACGAAAATTAACACGAATAATATGTCTAAAAAATTTAAGAGGGAGTTATATTATAAATTCAGTAAAGCTTTTTTTAAATTTTGTTTTATAACATTTTGAGGCCATCTTTAATTTTTTTTTTCAAATGTAAAAATATGTTTTTGCTTAAAGTATTGAAGGAAATTATGAAAAAAAAATTGAAGAAATCCTAATCATTATATAATGCTAGTTTTTGATGTCAAATTAGCTTACCAGACTATAGAATTAGTAATATATGCCAAATTTTATATTCAAATCGATCTAGTTTTTAATTAATAACTAATTATTCAATATTCGAAAAAGGTAAAAATTGTATTTCTTTGGACATTTAACTCCTCAATATCTCCGGTAATATAAAAGCTAGCGAGTTCAAATTTCGTCTCCGACATCCTAATTTTTTATTGGAATTGAAATATTTGGCCGAAAATGCTTCTTTCTTTTTTTAAAAAAAATATAAAAAACACGTGCTAATGCTTTAAATGGTGTTTGCCTCTTTTGCCATGAAATATATATTGAACCTATCTTTAAAATTAAATCATTTTAAATGAATAATATCGCGATTTTATGATGAAACTATGATACATTCTTATTAAGGGCTCAAACCGAGTCTCTATAATCAAAATTTTAGACTCGATAAATGGCTATTTTATAAATCTCAGAGTCATTTTTTTTACCTGTTAAATATTCTAACTTGCATGTGTGTGGGGGGGGGGCGAGTGGACCTTCTCCCCAGAAAAATTGAAAAATTTCTGAAATATCATTTTTAGCAATTAAAAATGGATACTCTTGCCAGAGCCCTGCAAATTCAATTTTTGGGCCAGGTCCGCACCGATTCTTTATGTAAAACCCAACGCATTTTTATAAAGTTAAATAAAATATTTAAAAAAACACTAATTACTTTATCCTAATGTTTATGAAATTCGAATTAATTTTGATAAAATAAGAGAAAATAATATTTTTTTAAATAAATTTTTTTAGCCCAACCCGGATAGAACTAAAAAAAATGAGCACTAAATAGACTAGAACATCTCCAAACTCCAATACCCCTCCCTCCTTCATTTCCTGGATACGCTTTTGCTAATTTATGTCGTATTTGTAATAAATGCTGGGCCCCTCGAGCCGAGCAAGATTTTCCGGCCTGGACAGATAAATTATATAATGTAAAATACCTTTACAGGCTAGGTTTTAGTTTTAATTTTTTTTTTCTTCTAAAGGTGCTAATTTGGCAAATTTATGTCGTTTTCCTTCATAAAAAGAGATTATTACGGTCCACCGTGTCAAAACAACTTGCACAAAATTATTTTACTACTAGTCTGGTAAAAATAATAAAAAATAGTATTAATGTGAAAGGAAGAAAGAACAAAGAATATTATTCCCTAATATACCGAGTGTTATTTTTTAAAATCAATTTTTAAATGATTTCGCGTGATCAAGTTAAAAAAATATAGTTATATAATAATGCCCATGGAATTAAATCGAATAATTCAAGGTTATTAATAATACAGTATAATTATTTTCTTTTATCTTCGCATTTTTAAAAAAAAATATTATTCAATCGATTTTTAACAAATTTTACTTAAAGTTTATTGAATCTAATTGGTTGTTATTCCTTAATAAATTATATTGACAAATTATTGCTACTATAAAAATATTATACCTAATCACGAAGTTTATTCGATCGAAATGGCATTCTTTGCATTGCCGGATATCATGTGGGCGCGCCAGTCATTTTTTTGCTCCTAAAAAAATCATTAGATATTAAAATTAAGACCTAGGATTTAAATAAGACTATTATATTATATCAATCATAATTTGATAACATATTATACATATAAGATTATTAATCTATATCAAATCTTGAAATCCAACGGCCCCTCTATACCCGATCCTAAAACCGGTTTCTATATATGTATTTTTTTTTGAGAGGGGGGGGGTATATTTGAAATAATATTTTATTCAAGCAACTTCTAGAAATACACACTTATTAACATTTTTTTAAAAACAAATTTATACTAAAATAAAATTTTAAATTAAGAAAAGGAAAATAATATATTACATATATTTTATAATTTATTCGAACGAAGTCTACAAATTTACATCTTTATTTAAAAATATATAAATTGCCATGAGACGATCTGACTAATTTGGGATGCGGGTAATATACTAAATTTATTACCCCACTAAAAAAATGTATCCCTTGTTCGTAATTCGCGATTATAATTAACCCAATTAAGGGATTATATATAGATACTATTTAATAAATAATTTATATTTACGAAAATAATACGCAAATTTATTCCAAAAAAAGAAGAAAAAAGATGATATAATGACCTAAATTTCATTTTCTAAATCAAAATCTTGTAACATTCAAAAAATAAAAGCCTTACTTTAACCGTTTAAAAACCCCATTTTTTGATTAGCCTAAAATTTCTTTAATCTAATATATATATTTTTTAAACTTTATTTAATTTAATATATATATATTTTAAACTTAATTTAATTTAACATTAAAATTTTTTTTTTTACTATTTATATTTTGAATTTTATTTAGTTTTAAATTCTTATTCTTAATTTTGCTAAGTTAATTCA